GTTGCTGGGCACCACTGAAAAAAGTCTGGCCCCATCCACTTGACTCCTGCACTTTACATACTTACAAACAATGATGAGATGAACCCCTCAGTCTTCTCTCATCCAAGTTGAACTGTCCTGGATCTCTCAGCCTTTCTTCATGTAGGAGATGCTCCGAGCCCCTTTTGTTTACAAGTTGAGCCTTCTGTACTGTATTACCTTAGTTGACAGGACTTGAAAGTCGAGAGCTTTGGCAGAAGAAGCACACCAAGTACAGTGTGTTATCACAGCCCTACATAAGTATACATGTACATATGTGGGAGCTGACTAACTCAGCTCCCATTCTGTGACCACAGCTGATATTTCCCGAGGACCTCAGAAAGCTCATCCTGGAGCAGACACTTATTAGCCAGCTGAATAATTCTCTCATCTTCAGACAACTCAGTTAACTGTGATGGGATCCTTGGTGCCCAGAGCACACGCAGGCACCTATTCTCAGATGGCTTCAGCTGTGAGCTGACTCCCAGCCCATTTATTTGCCTAAAAATAGAGACCAGTGCCATGCAAGATTTGGTGCAATCCACTCGTCTCCCATCTGTTGCTCTAGAAGAAGAGAAGTCTGTCCCAGATCCTTTGTCAACTCTGCCAGGCCCATGCAAATACCTTGTATGGATGCTCTTGGCTTTCTCAAGTATCAGCGAATGTATCTGTTTAGGTAAATGAGTCAAACTCCCCTGCTAATTCTGGATGGCTGTGGGAGGCTGCAAATATACAGAGTTCTAAACAGCGTCACCACTGTCATTGCTGGATGATGGAAAATCCCAGACAATATTTATTCTGCAGCAGATGCCAGCAGGAGCACTGCAGAACTGTGTCAGCTGGGGGTTTGTCTGGCTGCAGTGCCTCACAAACAGCAGCAGGCAGTGAGGCTTTTGCAACGTGAGCACCTGAGAGCTCTGCCCAAGATTCTGCAGCCTGCTGGAGCCATGCTGCCTCTGCCTGGGACACCCAATTACTTGATAACTGTCATGACTTCACAGAAAACTAGGAGTTAGCTGTAATTGATGTTGATAATTAAGACTATCGAGAAACTAGACACACTGAATGCACTTTCTGAGTGTTCATTCTTGTGCCTGTGGTCCCGTTTTCTAGAAGCACTGCAATCCATGACACTTCTGGTTGATTTTTAACAAACTATCTGATACATGGGCGGAATACTTGGCAGGGTTCCTTGCCCTTCCCTCGGTTGGGGTAGCATGCCTTTCAGTCCATAACATGCACTGCAAAGCCTATTGGTGGCCTGCAGCCACTCCCCTGCTTGCAGAGGGTGTTATTGGAGGAATTCAGCCTTTGCGATGGGGTCATTCAGGTAGTTTATGCCTCTCTGGATATTAATGGGTACGTGTCATTGCTTCACAGACCATAGGAAGCTGTTTGCTCAGGCATAAAACTTAGTGTTTTCTTGTTGACGCAGAAGAGGTTGTTTGTGCTTTGTTAGGAGCTGACATGAAACCGTCTGAACTCACTTGACAGCTCTCCCTTGTTTCTAATCAGCTTCACTTCAGGTTTTATGTAAGTGCACGATGAGCAAAGCTTCAGTCTGAAAATCTGACTGGGGAGACTCAAGTTCTCATAATTTGTATCATTTGTGGAGCTGCCCAGAAACAACCACTGGTCCAAATCACTCCATCTGCAGGGCCTTGGGGGTCCTGCCTTCCTCTTCCCCTGTGCTCCCCACTGCTGCTTGGGTGCCAGCCTGCACCCTGTGCACTTATCTCTTGTGGCTGGAGGACGGGAATGGTGCACTGTCAAAAGCTTCTGATGATTTTTCAAGGCCAATGGATGATCAATTCACTGAAGCAAACAATAAAAACAAAACTCACCCTCTGCATACTCCAATGACAACACCCACGTTAAAGCTGCTGGAGAAATGGCAAAGCTATTCACTGGATCGCCACCAACTGCTGCAGGCAGACCCCAGAAATTATATTACAGAGATTAGCATTCAGAGCTGACTGAAGGAGATGTTTTTATCCTTCTCTGAAGACCTCTTGTTGCCTTCTCCTTTGCTCTGCAATGGAATTATATTCTCCACCTGGTAGTATTGATGCTAAGGGAGAGGATGTGCCCTGACTTTAAATCTACACCACTGCAGTCAAACAGATCAGAGAAGAACCACAGATCCTCCTATTTCCTTCCAGGAATGAACATATCCACTGCTACAGGAAATGAGAGTTCTGTCTTCAGCAGCATGAACTGTCAGGGGGCAGTCAGTTCATTTCATGAGGACAGGAGATTCAGGCAGAGCTGTTGATTTTGCTTCACTTTTTCTTTGAATTGTGCTAATGCAGCAATTTTTTTTTTCCTTTTTCCTTAAGATATTTCTAGCATAAACAAAGTATGTTTGTGTATGTTATAATGTTTTCACTTATAAGACTTTTGTTTTAGAAGATAATACTTTCCAGCAGTAGTTATTCAATTGTTCTCACTTGTAAGAATATAGGTAAAATATCAATACTCTGCCTCTACTCTGGTTTGGGAACTTCTGCTGATTTGATTTCCATAATGAGCTCTGTTCTTTATAACACGATTCTAACGTACACTAAACCTTTTTCTCATTTTCAGTCAGTACAAAGTATAACAATGTGATCAGCACACTAACCAATGTAAATGTTGAACAACAGAGTAGTGGCAATTAATTTTCACTCACCCTATGGCCACTGAAATCAATGGCAAGTTTCCAGTTGACATCAGCAGATCAAGAACAGAGCCAAAACAGCTTGAGTTGCTAATCAGCAGGGAGACATAGGTGTTCCTGAAGGTCTCTAAAAGATAAGAAGCATACTCACTTCTAAGTCCTCTAGAGCATAATCTCAGGAAAGAGTCCGGTCTTATGGCATTATCTCCCTATGGACTGTACAAAATGGGAAGCTCAGGTGCAGAGCTGCTGCTCGCCCTGAGAGGCAAAAGCATCCCTGTCCAGCAGAACAAGGAGCTTGTCTTTGTGTTCATGCCACCACGAGCTCTGCTGGGATAGAAGGGCTTTGTCTGCACCTGGACTCAGAAGGACAGGGCACAGCACATGGCAGTGGCCAGCCACAGCTGGTGCTCATCTCATACAGCTGAGACTTTTTTAGAATAAAGGATTAAGAATGTCCAAAACATGAACAATGTGAGGGCTAGCTTCAATAAGGTTAGAAGATGATTCCAGCTGTTCGGGGCTGGGAGCCTAAAAAAAAGCTAAGCATGCCTCCCGTAGTCAGTGTAGCTCCAGACACTTGGAAGCAAATGGGTGGATTGAAGGAGAGGGCAAATTTGTGGCTGGTGCTAGATAAAAAGGACACAAAGCACTGCTGCAAGCAAGGAGAGAAAGATTATAAACCTTAAAAACAACCTTCAGGAAACTCGTGGCTGCTGTTCAGCTGTTAGCTGCTGGCTCCTTTGTTCTGCTTTGTTCAGCTTTCCATCCTTTTTTTTTTTTCCCCCCCTCAACAAAAACACTGTGTACATAGGGGCCGCAGGAGGCAGCAGCAGCCTCTCTTGGCATTGCTCTCACATTCTCCAGAGAGAGAAGCAGCAAAATGACAGGACAGCATGTACCCTGCCAGCCACACTGAGGACTTGAAAACATGTTTGTGTCAAGTCAGCAAGAGGCTGCTGAGCTGGTCACACCACCGCCCTCCGTCTCTTCCTCTCAAGGCTGCTCAAAGGAGCAGCGTCAAAGTCCAGGCCCATGCTCGAGGCAGGCACAGGTGCTGCTAGCAGTTTGATCTTGACAGTGTGGAGCCGCTTGCCCCACTGTAACCAGTACACCCAGCTCACCCCAAAAACAGCAGGAACTGCCTCTCTCCCTGCCCCAAGTTGGAAAGAGCTGCTCAAGTGGGTGGCAGCCACCAGGCAGGACCTGATGCTGGCTAACTGCAAACCCAGCAGCATGGCCAGGTGATGTGTCCCCAGCCATCTCCAAAGCTTATGAGGATATGGGAAAGACAAGGATGTTAAAGTGACACAGAATGTGCAACCCCATGACAGACTGGGCCAGGCTGGGCTAAGGCCTACAGCATGGAAAGATCCATGGATGATGAAGGTCAGGTGTTGGTGGAGCTTCAACCAACTGGAAAGGGAAGAAGAGAGAAAGCTGTCTGTCCACCCAAGCAGTAAGGAACATTTAGCTGGACAGACCCAGTTTCAGGAGGCTGGGTAAACAAGGCCCCGTGGCCTGCAGAGCCAAAGAGATCGAGAGGCCCCGTAATCCAGCAGGCTTCCCTCCACCCTTGCTAGAAGAGGGAGCAGATACAGAGAAGATCTGGGGTTCGTGAGCCACCCTGTGTCAGGGTTTTTAATGTTCACAGAGTGCCTAGGTCAATCCATTTTCTTCACAGAGAAAAAAAAACTACTGCTAAACTTGTTTTAAAAATACGAGCTTCAGGTAACTGCATTATGCCGCAGGGAACACAGTTTGAAAGCAGTCCAAAAGTCACACCCAAATGCACAGCAGCTAACACACACAGTGAGGTGATGGCACACAGCTCTCTCCCTCCCATTTGCATCCTCCAGAAAATTCAGCCCCTGAGTGCTGGAGCGCACACTCAGAAAAACACTGAAATAATTTGTAAACGTTGCCTGTACGATCAATGGATATTAAGATGTTACAATCACAAAATAAACAAGAGAGTTAAGCAAAGTAGATCATGATAACAAAAGAGAATAAATGGAAGGCTTACCCTTAGTTGGGCTCACCACAAAACACCAGAAGGAGGAATCTCCAGATGAGATCCTTTCCCACTGGTAGCCAGCTCTTAAATAGGTCTAGGAGAGGTGCAGCCAGGCTCCACCCCTTCCGGCAGCACAGGAGAATTGCCTGCACCTGTGCTCCTCTGGCTGGCTCATGGCTCGCCTCAGGTGATCAATCAGAAGTTCAGGCTGTGACCATACACTGCGTTATCAACAGGACTGGGAACACCTAAATGCTATTGTGTTAAACCCTCCAAATAATTTCAATGCCAATCCAACCCAAATAGTAAAGCAACTGGCTCTCAGTTTTATTCTGGAATGTCACACAACCCACAGATCACAGCATACCTGATTGCATTAGGGAACTTTAAGACTGGGAAAATGCAGCAGCACATTCTGTACTGCATCTACACAGCAGCTGCAAATTATACAATCAGTGTCCTGATATATGAGCAAACAGGTGTAAATATAAAAGTTAATTGTTCTTCTTTCCAGATGGTCAAAATTCCGTCAGTTGAGAAGAATCTGATTTGGTGTGTGCATGGACCTGTGTAATTCATTTCAGATTATTTTTAGCTGTTCTTCTCTGTAGCAAAAAAGCTGCCCTAAGCAAAAGCTACCAAAATACTGTAAAGGTGAAAGAGAAAGTTATCACTGAAATTCTCTGGATTTATGATAAAGGAAAGGCAAGGCTATGGGAGAAATGGACCTGAATGACATGCTGGAATTTCCAGCAAGGCTAGCTCAGAGCTGCTGGCAGTGAGAGATTTGTTCAGTGCTGACCCAAGCAGACAGCATGACCTTGAGTTCATGAGAGCCATGCACACTGGGAAACAGCAGGAGCGACTCAGAAGTGTTGGCTCAGCTTTAGTAGGTAGGTGTAATTCAATGGACTTCTCTGTAGTTGGCCCTATTGGGTGATTTTTCTCTGCATGGATGTTAAAATACCTCTGTTACTTTCTGTCAGAAAACAGCTTTGTACTGATCACAGTGTCTCAGCCTGGATCTCCAATGTGCTGCATGCCTGTGGCCTGCTAAGGTACTGGCTTGCCCTTTTGCAGCACCTCAGTTTTTGCACGGCTTGAGCCAGAGTCCGTGCATTTATAAGTCCCACTATTCTCTTTCCTCTTTTATGGGGCATTATTCTGAAGCAGGCTTGCTACTCTTCTGTTCTTGCTTGTTTTTCCTCAGATCTTAAGAGTTATCTGTTCTTGGCCCCTCACCAGCTGGAGGGTTTTGTGAGGTTATCAGGAACAGGTGAAGATCTCTTTTCTTGATCAAACTTGTCTGCATTCAACATCCATCTACCAAAAATAGACAGCAAGCTTATTGCTGTACCCAGTGCAGCTCGCTGTTGACAGTCACTATTGACATAATCTAACCCAGTGCTAATTGCAGTGTAAACAGCCTAGGAACCATATCAATTGCACTGATAAAAGGCTGAAGTGCAGATGTATTCTGGTACCAAGCAAAAGGCTGGTAGCAGCATCCCCAGCTAGCCCTCATTGGAAAGAACACAGCAGTTCACCAGTGGTGTAAAAATTATCCTGTGCCCCTCTGTCCTTGTTTTAAATGCCTTAATTGTAATTTAGCAGTGTTTCATGGGGTGCCAGTGCAAGGCAAAGGGCTAAGGAAATGTTAACTGTATATTAAAATCAAACAGGTCATTGGAATGCATAGTAGTCTTAGTTACCTTTCCACTTTATGTGCTATGAAGCTTAAGGTGCATTTGGAGAAATGGTCAGGAAAAAAAATTTGGAGCAGCCAACAAATTTCATCTGACAGTTGCTGTATATAGCAATCTTTTCTGACCCGCTCACTCATCTGCTGTAGCAGAAGTTCCTGCCGTTCCCAAATAAAGACTGTGGTAGATCTTTCCACTACTTTAATATAATTCTTAGGGAGGTTAAGGTGTCAGGCACTAGCTAGGCTTTGGCATCTCTGCTAATAGCATGTTCTGCACTGTCATTTAGTAGAAGTGCAAACCCTAGGGAGCACAGGGAAATGCTACTTCCATATCCTGAAAGTAAATGGAAATATTGCTGTGTCTGACCCATCTGTATCTTGCAGCATTTCAGAAAAGCAGCAGCAGCCCATCAAGAGCCCTGCAAAGCTTGGAGCATGCTGAAAAGCTAGCATGCCTCCTTGGCTTTTCCAAGTATAATAAAGGTATATAAGAGCACAGGCCACCCCAGACTATTTCAATCTTCCTTCCAATCTCGAAAACTGAACTTTTGTATATTTAATTTACAGGCATTTGTCCCACGGGCAAAATGTACTGCCAAAAGTTGTAGTGCATTTTGAAAGGGCATTCCTATAATATGAAGGAGCAGAGTCTCTGTGATCATTTTAATTGGCCCAGCAGTACTTTCAGCTAAAAGTAAAGCTGCTGCCTTTCATGGCAGACCAGAATCTTCCCTCTACCTCTAATAATTGTGTTTCTGACATTTTATAGAAATAGTTGTCAATCTTGCTCTGGTTGGGAGATATAAAGAAACTCACAATCACAGCATTTGATTCTGTCAGAACTGGAGTATAGGCTGTAACAGATTGCCCCATGGAAAGAAGTGATCTTTCAAGATGGTAAGTGATTTTGAAGAAAGAAAATTTCACTAATGCCAAAATTCCTGTAGAAAGTATTGGTTTCAGCCCTGACACCCTGACTTGAGTTGAAAAGTTCTGTTATGAATTAGAGCAAAGATTTGACTGGAATATCTCTCCAAGTCTCTTTACATATGAAGAGTCAACTGCCTGAACTCTACAAGTACTTGAAAGGAAGTTGTGGCAAGGTGGATTTTGGCCTGTTCTCCTGTGCTATTAGCTATAGAACTAGAGGGAATGGTCTCAAGTTGCACCAGGAGAGATTCAGGTTGGATGTTAGGAAAAATTTCTTCTCCAAAAGAGTGGTCAGGTGCTTGAATGGGCTACCCAGGGAGGTGGTGAGGTCGCTTTCCTTGTAGGTAATCAAGAAACCTTTAGATGTTGTACTAAGAGACACGTTTTAGTGTGGGAATATTGTAGATGGCTGGACTAGATGATCTTGGAGGTCTTTTCCAGCCTTGGTGATTCTATGAATGAACTCATGTGCCAATGCACATACAGACCATACAGTCTGCTTTCTTCTAGTCAGCAGTTTTGGTCCTAAACTTTTCAAGATGATTCAGGCAGCAGCAGCATCCTCCACACTGCCCTGGTGCCAAGGCCATGTAAGAGCATGGGAAGGGCTGCAGCCAGCTTGGCTCCTTCCCTTGCTGGCTTGTCAAGCACTGAGGACAGAAAGAGACTGAGATCCTGGCTACCTGTTCCATGTGGTCCCAGAGCCCTATATTTATTATCTGGGCTTTGAACCTTTTCTTCTTTATAATATAAGCTTGTCTCAGTGCACTAGTGTACTTAATGCATGCTATCAGAGGAGTGAGGGATGTGAAATTAGCACCAGTTGTGCTAAAGATCTGAGACTTACTATTGCTGCCATTCAATCAAGCAATAGACTCTTACCAGGTAGCCTGTGTTTGAAGGAGGATTTTGTACTGTTGAGTGTTGAGTATTTAAAGCAGGACTGTTGAGTATTGCTTTAAAGTATCAGTACGGAGTAATGAAATACATTGTGCTCTAGGACCATCCTATATGCAGACAGTTGTATACAAAGTCACCTTTGCAGAGAGAAAACATACTTGCCTCATTTTTAAGCCTTGTGCAACTCTCAAGGTCTTGGTAGCTCTGCACACAGTGGGACACAACAGAGAAAATAGCTTTCCCTACCTACCATCTAGGAGCAACATTGGAAAAGTAGCCTGTCTCAAGGGTGACTCACTTGCTACATGCTGAGAAGGAACTGAGTAAGATGAGCTGCTCCCTCTTGCAATTTCCCGAGTTGCCACTTTGCAGTCTCTGGCTCCTCTCCTTGGCATGAGATGGGCATGATCAGCAGCAGTGCAGTAGAGCTTCTCTAGTCACGCTGTTTCAGGCTCACTGTCCTGGTTTCTGAAGGCTGAAAAATGTGAATAGTTGTTTAAGATTTTGAATGAAAACACAGTCCTGAACACTTTTAGATTGATTTTGGTTTCACCTACATGCTTTCTCCATGGATAAATCTGTGGAGTTTTGAGTCAAGCTGGAACAAGTCAGACATCAAATAGAGAAGGTTTCAAATTATTATAAGAGCAGTATACAAAGTGAATGTCTGTGAAAAACTGGATTATGGCTCTGCACTGGCCCACAAAAACATGTGGAGTGTCTCTACGTCTATGTTCATAGATGGAATAACAAAGTATTTGGCTTAAGAACGTCTCTTCTTATGCACCTTCTAAAAATCACCAGGTTGTTTATTGACAAGTCACTAATGGAGCTGTGGGAAAGGGTTGCCAGTGGGAACAACAGTTCATTGTTTGTGCTCCTGTGTGCTTTAAATATTCTAACAGGCTGTGAAATGCAGTGAAAATTTCTCAGACATGATTACATTTTTACTGAGAAGACAAATAGCACAAATAAATAATGAAGAGAAGGGAAAGGAAGGCAAGGCAAGGCAACACCAAGCAATGCTAAAACTAATTTTCTGTTATTTTAGCTCATGATTAGGTTCAAACTTACAGCATAGGGGTTGCAGCCTGGTCTCTTTCTATTTCCATTTGCAGCCATCCAATTTGTTGCAGCTTTGGAAACATACAGGCATGATCAGAAGTTATATAACAGCATGAATCTCCAATGAATCTGCACTAAGAGTAATAAGACTGTGCAGCCAGTAAATTTAGCAAATATCAGGTGCCCCCATGCCTCACTTGGGCAGCTCCATCTAGTGCGCAGAAACTAGATGTATTTAGTCTTACTGTCACTGCAGTGAGATTTAAAAAGAAAGAAATGTTAAAAGGTAGCAAATAATAAGTTTGCTTACTGTTGTTCTTCTAACTCAAACAACAGAACCAATTAAAGTGCATCAATTAGTCTTTTTCTTTCTGTAGTGGGGATGTTCTCCAGTGTTTTAACAGCTTGCAAATTCCTATGACTATAATCAGCCTGATCCCACTGTGCTCTCTGTCACATCCCACAATGGCTGTAATCTGGCACCTGCTTGGGTACAAAGCTTGGAAGTGAGGCTGGGTGCCTGCAGAATAAAAATTAAGCTTGTTCAATGTGAAGAGGGAGGATCAGGGGGAATTTAGGAACAGTGGTGACAGTCTTTTTTCTTCTCTCTCAGCAAGAGAGTCCTCACTAAGACAGGTCAAAAACAGTGCTATTGTTCTGCCTTAAACCTCCCACTTCCAGATGCAGAATATCACATCCTGAAGCCACCAGCATGAGTATGCCTGCAAAGTAAAACCAGGCACCCCCATCTGCCTCTTCTGGAGGGTGCAGCTAGTCCTGCTGTCAGACTGTTCAGAAAGAAACAAATATTTTCTTGCCTTGTCCAGCTGGCAAGTCCTTTTCCCTATTCCTGACTTACACAGATGCATTGCTTAGAAAAGCAGTGGCTTTATATTATGTAGGCTTTCCCAGTCCCTCAAAATTCACTTTAGAAACCCTTCATCATTTTAGTAAAGTACAGGGCTTGATTGGCACTGAGGGATGCGGTGTGGTGATGGCACTCAGCAGGTCAGGTTGGTGGCTGGACTTGATCTTGAAGGTCTTTTCCAACCTGTGTGGTCCTATGACTCCCCAGTGACTGTGGGACTGCTTTTGATATAGATGTAACACTTGTTAGGCCTGTTACTAATGGTAAGAGCTCTTATCACTGTGCTTTCTGTCAGCAAAGTGATTTATAATACTAAATATTCTGAGCATTTCTTTGGGTGCTGTTCTTGACACCTTGCAAAGCACAGAGACGCTGAACAGCTTGGCTGCTCCTGTACAGATGGGAAAAGCCCAGCAAGATGTGGGACCTCTTGCAGAGAGTTAATAATGATAGTAAGGAACCACTGCATCAGCCAAAGATGCAGTAAGAAGTCAGGGGCTGCTGGATTCTGATGATGGGCCCAGCTCACCTCCCTTCTATCAGAGCCCAGAGTTATCGGAGTCTAAATGAAGAACAGTGCAAATGGACTGCATAAAACTAAAATAGGGAGTAAAAATGAGTTTTATCAATAGGTCAAATTATACATTACTGTTGCTGCAGGATACCTAGAGTGCACCATGCATTTCTTCCCCTGCACTGGAGACAATGGCTCTGCCAGGAGAAACTGTTTTGTGGGAAACAGCATCAGCAGGTTCAAAGGCACCAAGCAGCTGACAAGTGTGAAACAGCTCAGCCCAGTTTCCTCAATGTGAAAACACCTTTCAGTTAAGGTGGAATTCTTTTCACCTGTGCTTAGCTGCTCAAAAATGAGCTATCTAGTCCACATTAATAGGTTAGTATCCTTTTGTAACCAATGGACAGAAATTTTCGTATTCTTCACAGATTCCACCCACAACCATCCTGAAGGATGTGTGTATGTAAGTGAGCTGACACAGTTAAGTCCAGGGCATCTGCCTTTTCCATATCAGGATGTGAATTTAATGCAGGTCACGATGAGAGTGGAAACAGAGACAGCATCTTCTAAAAGCTACCAAGGCAAGGCATGAACAAGAACACACAGAATTGTCAGTGCTGCAGATTTCAGTCCCATTCCTATACTAGGATGGATAATGGAAAAAAATACTGCAATTAAAAAGAATAGTATTATGACAAAACTTTAAGGTACAGACAGGTGTAGTGAACAACGTATTAATCCCAAATTCAGTACTGATCCATAGGAAACTACTGCAATCCTGACTGTGGTCATAATACAAATCAGTTTGCCCATTTCTTTCTGGGAAAGCATTCCAATGACTAATGAACACACTACTTTTTGACAGTATCCTCTTACTCCTAAAATGACAGCTAAAGAAAACTGCAGTGAAACAGTATTAAGGGCTGCTCAGATTGAATCTAACCATATCAGACAGTGGAATAAATACTGATAGAAATGGAAGCATCATTGCTTGGGTTGTTCATGCTAGGCTCAACAAAGCAGTGAGGGATGTGTTCATTTGGTTGTGCCTTTCCAACTCTGCTTCTCCAAGGAGGCTCTGAGGAGGGCCAGTGAATGCCAGCCAGCCCTCAGGCCACACAGAAGTGAAGGTTTGTGTGAGCACAGGGCCTGCAACTCCATGAAGACGCAGGCAGCAGCAGGGCACTGGCTCAGTAGATTATTCCTTCTGGTTCCAGCAGCAAGTACTTCTTCATGGACAGTGGGATGGAGAGCAAGGGGACGCCTCGGTGGCATCGTTCTGACAGTGTCATCCGAATAGCACATCTGCATAAGTGCATGAGGGACCGTGGTGAATTGCTGCACACACTGAATAAGGAGTCGTAGAAATCCTGGTGCCGCTGTAAAACGCAAAACAAGATGAGTGGTTCAGGGCACTGAGCTTCTCTCTACCTCCCAACACACAGATCTCACCAGGAGGGAAAAGCCCATAGAGCTGCCCTGGTATGTTAGTCACTTTCAAAAGCATACTCATTTTCCTGTGGCCAGATAAGAACAATAAATATCAAGCTTGGATTTTACTCCTTTGCAACCCAGTAAGAGCTTACCTCAAAGACATCATCAGGTATGGCCGCTTTCCACTTTGATGTTGATTTGATGTGTTCATAGGTGTTGACGACCACCTCCACAGCCCTGGGGTAGGAATGACAGGCTTGTAGCACCTGTAGGCAGGATGTACAGGGATCATAAGTACCACCAAGAACCTGGGGCCAGCCTGTCTGCTTGGTGAGAAGAGCATAAGGACACACTAAAATGTACACATTTAAAACATAGGATAGGATGCAGTTGGTGCTGGAAAAGACAATCCCATCTTCACTGCTTTGTTCTCACTCACATTCATGGAGTAATGCTTTGCATTCACACCATACTACGTACAATTTTGACATACACCATAGGCAGACTTCCACAAACAATGCTGTAGAGCACCCCCCTGGGTTAAACATCATGCTGCATATTGTACAGATAGCAAATTATAGATCGGATCTGTGCCCCACTCCATGCAATAGGGGAAAGATGGAGGCAGGAAATGGAGACCCTAAGTCTGGCTCTCAAACAGACTGTAGAAAAATTTTGCTACAGAACCAGGGCAGCTCAGTCTAGGCTCAGGAGGGTACAGCCAAAGTTTTGGCAGTTTTTCAAAGATTTCTGATTGCTTGGCTTGTTGAAATCTTGTGCTTACAATGGAGGAGAAGCACAGTTATGCTCAGGGCAGAGATGAGAGAATGAGTCCTGACCACAGCAAGCTTACTTTGTTGCTTCAAGTAAGAAACTACAATGCTTTGGGTATTGAAGACCTTTAGAAATTCTTTGGGAGGGATCCTGCAAGTATTGTTTCTTTTCCCATCAGCTATGAGCTCAGATTTGGAAATTCCCCGTAATTTCTCTCATTCCCAGGAATAAGCCAAAACATCACTGAGATCCATCTCAGTTTGAATGGATTTGTATTTTTAAAGGTCAGAATGGACAAACTGAACTGTCTTATCTTTTTTCCAGTCTTTGATAGAAGCAACAAAATATACATTTCCTACAACCCAGTTAAGTATATTTGGAGCAAGGTTTGATGAAAGCATGTAGATTTTCTGAAATGGTAATGTCAATGGTAATGTCAGTTCTGAAAAATTGAGCCAACATTTAGACTTTGTATTTTCAGACTGATTGGGAATGAAAATTGCATCTGCATCAAGTTTCTGTCATTAACAATGATACCAGTCTTACAACAGGTCATCTCACAAGATTTTGGGCATTCTGGGACTACAGTTCATAGGACTCCTGCAAATCCCAATATTATCAGACTCTGAGGTTTGGCTCTCTCATCTCTCTCCTGTTCAAGTCATCCTCTCTCTCCATCTCTTTGCTCTGTACAAAACCATCTTTAACCTTGTGGAACTGCAGGGGATATATCCTGGCTGCTCCATGATTCAGTAGCAGCTGGTAGCAGACATCAGGCTGGGCAGCTGGCCTCACAGATGTCACTTTTATGATATACTGTAGGGGTGCACAGCCATTGACATCCATGACGTTGGCTTCTGCTCCTGCTTCCAGCAGCATGTGAAGCAGTACATGATCACAGTTCCAGGCAGCTTTGTGGAGTGGAGATTTGAAGTCCTCATCACGAGTGTTCACTTCAGCTTTGTAGTCTAAGAGCATCCGGCAGATGAGGTGGTGGTCGGGGCTGTATGTCTGGTCCTTGTAGTGAAGGGCCCAGTAGACTGCACAAGCCAGGGGGGTCTCCATGTGGGCATTGAGAGCATCGACCTGCGCCCCTTGTTCCACATAGAAAGCCACGAGCTCGGGGATACCCAAACGCACAACAGTGTGCAGAGGGGTCTCCTCATCTTGGTTGTTGGTTTTTATGTTCACGTTGGCTCCTGACAAGGAAAGATTATGGGAAACAGTCAAGGCAACAAAATCCTGGTTCAGACACCTCTGTGCTAGAGCTGTGCTACCCAAGGAGATGGTGCGGATGGACATTTATCTTGAAACATGCTTGTAGTAATGCAAATAGTAAGAGATGTGGATTCTGCATTTCTTAGGCCTCTGGGAAACCCTTAAAATCTTCAGATTCTTGGATTCCTTTCCCAGTGTCATAGGTTGACCCTGAGCTGATAGAACACCTTACCTAAACATAGTTTTGGAGCAGCATTCAGGTTCAAATCTATTTCTAAAGTGCTTTCTGCTATAAAGAACCAGGGGAAAAATGAGATCACTACTCCTATTCCATAAATGATATTTGAAAAAGGAAGGAAGGGAGGAAGGGACGAAAGCAGGGAGGGATTCCCTATTTGAGGGTCTAGTCCTGTTTCTGAGCTGCTAACAGGGCTCAGGTTGGAAATTAGAAAAGATTTTTGTGAAAGAGTGATGGTACATTGGCACAGGTTGCCCAGGGAGGTTGTGAAGACACTGTCCCTTGAGGTGATCAAGAAGCGTGTGAATGTGGCACTGAGGGCCACGGTCAGTGGGCATGGTGGGGTGGGTTGGGGTTGGACTAGATGATCTTAGTGGTCTTTTCCAGCCTTAATGATTCTTCGACTCCGCAGTGTAACAAGTCTGCTTGCACCTAATTTATACCCCTGTTGCTGAAGCAACATCGCCATCTGCTGCTCAACACGAGAGCTGCCGCAGGACAGACGGACGGACAGGCGTGGGCCCGGAGCGTTGGCGAGGTTTCCGCCGAAGCAGCGCAGGCCTCTGGGCTCCCGCCCGCTCGGCAGGACGTTCCCTCGTCCCTTCCAGCTATCAGCAATTTGCTCTAAAGAAATGCAAATTACTGAGGGAAAGAATACTGAACACTGCTTATTAGAACAGAGGAAAGGTTGGCAAGACCCCATTCCCTGGAGCAAAGAAAAACTGCAGTACGAAACATATATTTGTAGTGTACACATTGTGTGTATACATACTGTTACATATCAGGGTACAGCAGAGCCAGCAGGCTGGGGAGCGCAGGGGGTTGTTCCAGTGGTGGAAGGTGTGGAAGTCAATGCTGGCAGCTGGGTGGCCGAGAGCTGCTCCTCGAACCCTGAGCTTTGGCAAGCAGTTGATGAAGCGCTCATGCAAGAGCAAGAGCAAGCTGTGTGGCCGCTCCTCTCCAGCCAAGTAGCCCTTACATGGCCAAACTACACTAAGACTGAGGAGTAATGACTGAGAGGGAGACAGAGGAGTCAGAAATTACCGCTGGGCTGCGTGCTAATCCCTTTAAACCCAGCTGGGTGTTGCTCACGTTACATGTGCATGAGTGTATCAGCAACATAAGCTCGGAGGTGGTAAACAAATCTGGGAAGAGCTCTGCCTGGCTGGCCGGTTGCCCAAGCCAGAAAGGGCTGAACTGCCTTTGCCTGAACTGACCTGGTGTGATACCACCGCGTGCAGATGGTGGGATGGGAGGTACCTCTGGAAACCTCAGCTCAGGGCATCAGCAAACACCTGCTGACAGCTTTTGGGTGGTGCTGCATGTACACACCTGCCACGATTTGCTCCAGACTGTGCCCATTTTTGTTTGTCTGCTTTTAGCTCACATAGAAATTCAAGTTTACAGAGTGCTTAGGAAAAGAGGGTGGCTTGCAAAGCACTGTTCTTTGCTTGCTGATAGGTGGGTGGAGAAAGCCTGCAGAACACATTCTTTCATTTGCTGCATTTTGTAACAGTACATTCGACTTTTAAGCTTTTCCATGGTAGCAAAAGCAGCTCCTGCTGTCAGGCCTTTTTGCTTTGGGCAGGATATAACTGGCAGCGTTTATTTTCCTTTCTAACAAACAAAATAATATATATCTTCTCAGCAGAAGTAATGCAATGTGGTTATTCATTTGTGGTTTCCGATCCCCTTGCCCACAAATCATACTTGGTCTCTGCATCTCAAGAGAAGCTTTCAATAACAACATATGTAGCAAAAAGCTAAAGGTATTTGTGTTTGTTGTGGCCCAGTGTGACAAATAAGGGAATCTGTCCATTTGTAACTCAGGACTCGGAGCTGCCTGACTTTGCTATACCCTTTATATCTGTCTTTAAAAGTCCAGAGTCAGCTTCCTTGTGTTAAGGACACAGTAGAAGGGACATCAATATATTTATCTGTGAATTGCATCTATTTATAGCTTCATTTGCTACAGCCAATCAGAGATATAATATATCTAGCTTCAGGAAAACAAAATCTTATATAATAGCCTTTTTCCCATATATCCTACAGAGATGTGAGAATTTGACTGCTGGCAAACTAAAGAGACAGTATGAAAAACGACACTTCTTTTGTCAGGGCTAGGTCTTAAAACACAAGTGGGTGAAAGAATTTATGGAGAACAAGGAAATTTCTTTTGGAAGAAAGAAGAAGATAGGGGTGCACTTTAATGTGAGAGCCTTTCAGTAGTAAATTTAGATGAGAAAGACAGAAAAAAAAAAGTAGAGAAAAAGAATTCCCTGATTCAGAGGAGCTCTGCTGCTGGGGACTGATCAGGCAGTGGGCTGGAATGGGAACCAATCCTGGAGCAAGGGCTGGTGGCCATGGACAGGGAGGGAGAGAAGAAACTTCAGCTGGTCAAAGAGATGGGGAAAAGGAGTCAGAGATGAACAGGCAAGTCAGCTGTGGGTGGGAAGGATAAATATACAAGGTCTTGGAAACTTGCCTCCTAGGAAAGACCACAGAAACCATCCAGAACTTTCCCTTACCTCTCCAAATCAGCTGCTGGGCACAAGGAATGGAGGTTAGTGTTGTACAGAAGTGCAAGGGCGCCTGCCCACTCATTGAAAAGCAGTTCAGCTTGGCTCCATGGTTGCAGAGGATCTTGAGACACTCAACATTTGCTGTTTCACACGCTATGTGGATTGCAGCTTTCCCATTGGGCCGGCAGTTGATCGTAGCTTTGTGATTGAGCAGGACTGAAAGACTCTCCAGATGCCCATACATGACAGCCAGATGAAGTCCAGTTGCCCAGGATATTTTTAATTTGTAACTAGGCAGCCAGTATCCTGTACAAAACAGAGAAGTGTTACCATCCTTGGCTAAGATTTTCCTTTGCATTATCCATCTACTGAGAATAATTGAGGAGGAAGGGAAGATCGGAGCTTTGGTTTAATTTGCTGTAATTTTACCAGCTAGAGTTTAGTGCACACAAAGTTCTCTCAAGCATAACTTCACTTTCATTAGGTACTTCCACTGTGTGTGCTGAATAGTCTGCCATTTGGAGTGATAATTCCCATGTAGATGTACTGAAGGCAGCTTTTGTTTTTCTAGTGACCTCTGTAGACTGAATAATAATCTTTAAAAAAAGCTCAGAGCATTTGAAATACCATCACCCAAAAAATATGTTGGAAATGGACTCTTCAGTCTGCCAACAGCTGAACAAAGGTGGTATTGGAATAAGAATGTTGAATCTGCTTAGGGCTGTGACTAAATGAATAGCTCATCCTGCTGTTTCTGCATGGGACACTGCCAGAACACATGTTCAGGGAGCTGGATTTGTACTCCCAGTGATGCACTGCATGAAGATGATCTCCAACAATGTGGCAATGTGGCAAAGTCCCTGCCCTTCTGCCAGCTATTGCCCATAAGGGGCATGGAGTGAGGAGTTCTGATGCTGGTGTGATTTACGTGAAAGAGCCAAATAGAAGCAGGTGCAGTTCAGCATGAAATTTGGTTCAAAAATGTTCAGATTTTTGTCTGAAAACTTCACAGTATTCTTATAAACCTGTGTAAGTACACTTAGAAACATGTATAAGACCAAAGAACTTTAATATTTGTTCCCAAGATACTTCTACATGTTCCATGACTGTATAGAGACAGTCTTTGAAGTGATGACTATGATCAGTTGCTTTAAAAAAGAAAACTATGATAGTACTGTGCAGAAGGTCAGGAGAAGACTAAAACTTCATTTTTATCCTTTTCTATATTTATTTTTGAAGTATAGCAGCTGCTTTTTAGCTAGTATGTGCCCATAAAATGTTGTTGGTTTAATTTATCTCCTCGGACAAGTTTCTGGTAAACGTTATTATTTAAAGTACTTTACATAATAATTTAAAGTAAAGGAAAGTACTACAGATGTGTAGTGAGGCCAAATTAATTCAGACCTTAATTTTTGAGTCTTGAGCTCTGTATTTTCCACCTTCATTTCAGACAGATACATTTACAGTTTAATGTGCACTATATTAGATAGGAAGAGAGACGGAGAGAGGAAAGAGGTAGACAGAAACAAACTGCTGTTGGCAGAGAGAAAAACTTTTTCATCACATGCCCCCAAGCTTGGTGCAAAGTAGGTGTGCTATATCCCAGAGTCCACGCACACAGCATAGCAGGTTTCTTTAGTCATTTCCCCACCTAGATTCCCATTTTGCTCTTCTCCTTGTAACCAATCTGATCCTACACTGAGTTCAGCCTTGGGGGCCAAAAATATGCATATGTGAGCTATAAATGATATGTAATGGTAGGAAAGTGATCCTTAAAAGCTAAGTTATCCCATCACACAGCCATAGTTTTCCTATCTGAGACCACCCTTTATCTCCTTTATGCTGTTGTGAGTGAATGGTGCCCGCAGAAGGAGCATCTCCTACGTCCTCTGCCCAGAGCCAGAGACATCCCTGATCCCAAAGGGATGAGACCTGGCACTGGGTAGGCAGCTGCAACAGCCCATATGGGGGCGTCTTTCAACTCACCTATTTGTTGGGGTGAAAAGAAGCCATAGTCTCCAAAAGGGGACCTTTTGTAAGAGAGGCAGCAAAGCCCCTATGCCACTGGTGGCTTCTTTCCCCTTTGTATCTTGGGGCCGTGGCAAAGCTCAACCTGTTAGAATACTTAACAGCATTCGCTCCTCAGGGAAATCCTCCTCCCAGAAAACAAAATTTGCATGATAGCTACTGGAGAGCCTTCTGCAGATACACTGCTGTGATTTAGGCCATGGGGTACATTTATCCCTCTACCATTTGAAAAAAGGAGAGACTTGTCCAAAAGAGAGGTTAGTACTTCTTACTGAAATATCCACAATTAAAAATCCAAGCATTACTTCTGTAGTTTCAAACCACAACCAAAATGCATTTTAGCCAGCTGAGGACAGAAGAAAATGTATTTTAAGGTACATTCATCATTGTGTGGGTTAGTTCAGATGCTGTCCCCAAGGGAACTCCTGGCTGAATCATCCTCACCCTTATGTGATCAAAAGAGCAGAGACTGATCATTAAATATCAGGTAACCACAGGAAAAGAGAAGAGGAGGGATGCTGTCCCTCTGTTATGCCACAGAAAAAAAAAAAAAAGGATATTTGCTGTGCTGCCAAGACTGGTATTTATCTCCATGCACACTAAGCTTCTGGCAAAAGCTGGTCATTACTGTCTTCCAGATACCCATGAGGAGTCTTTTCATCAAGTAGGTAACAAAGTACGTTGATTTTAGCAGAAAGCAGATTTGTTTCATTGTTTTAAATTATAAGTTTCTGGAAATTCTGTATCTGACAGCTGGATTGGATTTGGTAAATTCCAAACCAGGTGGGAAGTCTTGCCTGGTTATGTTGTTTCTCCAGATGACTCCTCTGGTTTGATGAACTAGCACATCTTTGCTTTCTGTGAGCTTGAAAAATACAGCTTCTCCCCAGCAGCAACATTCAAGCCCTCAGGATTTCTTTAGATCCCCTAAGCTAAGCAGAATTCATTGCACTATTGAAAATTGAAAAAGGAAGAGATTAAATATTTTGTGTTTCTAAATGTTCTGTTAATGTGATGGAGAACGTGCAAGAAATTTGTATACTTCACTTCATGGGCGTGTGCTGGGCTTTGCACTCAAATCCTCTGTGAGGAAATAGCAAAGGTCTCCTCTTTGCAGGGCTCTCTAGGGCTGCAGTAGTGCCTGGGAGGTGCAGAGCCTGGTGCTGCTCTCTGGCCTGCCCTCTGCCAAGGCCGGCAGCACAGCTCAGCTCTCCTCCGGCAGTGGTGTGGCCACATGAGCCTCCTGACACCGCTCCCTGAGAGCCACATTATGCTGCAGCTTTCGAAGGGACACAAGGCCACAGCTTCTGGAAAACTCCCCAAGCCCACCTACTTCCTGCCCTGTGAACGCTGTCACATTTACCTTGTTTGTAGGATGCCAGAATCAGATTCTCATCTTCCACTTCAAACACCGTGTCCACATCTATTTTCTTTTGGTTCAAGAGCTCTTCCAGTGTTTCATAGTCATTGGACTTCAGGGCTTCCAGAAAGTTCTTTTTCACTAATTTTGCAGCTTCAGCTCGAGTCATTTTCCCCTGAGTATTCTCTCCTTTTTCATATGCCTCCTCCACCTCCATTTCCAAACGTATCTGTTTGTGCTGTGAAGAGGGGTACACTGAGGTCCCTATAGTGCGGTTACATGCTGAAGTTCCTGAAGACCAGAAGGTAATTTTATCACTTGGTCATGCTGATCTGCTTGTTCTATTTATATGAAGAGCATTTCAGGCATCAAAATACCACTCTTAGATATCACCACACTCTTTTTATGAAAGTGAGGACAGACTTACTAGCAATAACATCAGAAAAAACAATTTCTCTACAGGTTTTATACACATTAAGCTTCATTAACCACATGGTTAACCTCTGCTCCTGCCATGTCATATTAAATGACATTAGTCCTGGGTGCTGTTTCTCAGCAGGAGAAATACACATTTCCTTTCATAGTTACTACTGGTGACTTACTGATGGCAGTAGGATGTGACGCTCTCACTGCTTTCTAACTAATGCATTTCAGAAAGAAAAAATCACTTCCCAAGGCACTCTTCCTGTGGGAGCATCTTGCTTTTCTCAGGACAGCACTGGTCCTGTTGGTCCTGCTTCCATTTCTCTGGCCATGAGACTGGGCCTCTACTAGAGCCCCGAGTATGCAGGACTCACAGCTGCCCTAGTATGTAAAGCCTTGAGCATGGCTGTGTTGATCCAGCCCGGTCCCCTCTATAACGTCCTGAGCAGCAGGAGTGCCTCAGTTTGCTCAGAGACCATAGCAGTGGCAGGTGGAAGTGCCCCCAGAAGGAGAAATACTGCAGAGGTGTATGATAGCAGGATGGGATGGGGTCAAACACCCCATCAAACACCACAGAGCCTTTCTGCAAATTAACTTGAGCAAGCTGAAGAGGCCACACAGCTCTATAGACAGTTTAGTCCTCCCACCCTATATACATTTAAATACTCTGTATCCCCCAGCCACTCCGCCCTCTGTCTCACAATCTCAGCAACCACTGAACACCTCCTCCCTTTATTTTCTAATTGTGCCAGCCCTGTCCCTGTGTCACCTCTGGTCTGTGTCAATGCAAACCCATGACTCAGCCAACATGAGCTGTTACCAGGCCTCAGGTAGAAGTGGCTCACATATGCATCTGCTTGGGCCATGTGGTGGGATCATAGCTAGCAGAAGGATCTTCGTACTTGATTTAAACAACCCAGCTGGGCAGACTGCACACAATCATGAAAAAGGAATCTTTGTGTCTACTTTTCCTGTGAGTTTGGCTTCCAAGCAGACTGATGGAGACATGAAATCTGGATAACGCTCTAAGTCAGGGCAGCCTCTGTATAGGTGTTCCAGGGGCTGGGCTCTTCAGGCAGCCCCATTAGCATCTGCAGCATCCTTGACCATGCGATGCTCATTAGCTCTCTCCTACAGCCAGTGCTCACCAGAGATATTACAGGACAGCAGTTCATGAGGAACTGAGAAATCTGTGAGTCTATAAATAAAAACTACTTTGTATTTAGTATTCCGTAAGTATTGCACTCAGGCTTGTAATAAAGAAAATGGAAGGAAAATGTCTTGCCTCAGTGCTATAGGCTGCATGCCACTTGTCTGTGTCTTTCTGGGCTTACTTAAGTAAGGGTCAGCATCACGCTTGCCATGTGATTACACTCCCTCCTGTCCCCCTCTTACTTTGCTCTTCTCAGCAGATAACTCCACCCCATGTTTTAAGAAAAGTGTTAATGCTTGTCTGGCATGATCAGAGGGACAAATGTGAACCCAGATCCTATGGACTTCTTGTTACTCACACTATTTTATTTTTTAAACCACTGTGTTCCTGAGAAGTCTTGGATGCACAAAGCACTGATACATAGTTGACCTCAGTTACACTTTTTGGTTTGAAATGGACTAGTTTTCAATCTGCCTACCATGAGCAGCATTAGATGTCACGAGAACATTCATTCCAGCCACATTCCAGCCACATTCCAGCCAGCAGAAAAGATCATGCAGTGCATCTCCATGCAGCTCTGACACCTGAAGGCTGAGATGCACAAGCTGCACATCTGCTGGCCCACTGTGCTTGCTCTTGGTTGACAACCAAGGTGAAGTAATTTGTGAGAGCTAGGCCCGCAACGAAAGAGAAAGCTGATTACAATCAGCTCTCATTTGTCACGGCCCACAGGGATGCACAGGGAGTGCACCTCAGATGCACTACTATTTGCTCACCTTTAGTATCTGGTATGGCCATGCTCTGATTCTCATAAAAATCTCAAGACAAATGAGTTTAAAATAGAGAAAGGAAACAATGATATATATCTATTGCCATTATATCTATGGCTCTCCTATAAGCATTTTAATCTAACCTTGAATATCTATTTGTATAAGTACACTAGTGATTTCAGTACAATTACACATGAGAATAAGTAACTGGTTTGGTAATTTAGACTGACAAATAATAACAAAAGACCAGATGAACTTTCTAATGGAAGAAAAAAACAGTATTATTTCATCAAAGTGTATTACAGGTACATTTAAGACTATGTAAACATGGCAAGCCATTGTGGGGCTAAGAGACCAATTTTTATGAAGTATCTCTATTTCCGCTGTACACGATTTCCTGCAGATTTCTCGCCACCACGCCACAAGGTGGCAGTTTGATTTTGAAATTTAAAACTGATGCTGTTCAAGCTCCTGGGCTGCCAAATATTCTGAACATCTCACAGCGAAACAATGGCTCATCACTTGTTTAATATTAATAATGGTACCAGCATTAATTTTATTTATAGGTTAGAGCTGAGGCTGCTGTGACGGCACTGTGCAGACGCACACACTATATCCACTAAGAAACACGGTTGATGTATTTAGAATCAGTGATATAAATGACACAGCTAACGCAGATGTGCATTTTCAGAGGGAAGACAGCTCCCACCCCCCATCTCCCAGGCCTTCCTTCAGCAACATGGAGTGCCACCCAGCACCCCTCCTCACAGGACAAACCACAGGCTTACAGACGCCTGTATCTCATCGGGCTGGCTGGGTCTGCACCTCCTGTGTGACTACAGCAGGGCAGAAGAACTCACTGTGAAGGGGTGCCACAAGGAGAAGGGAAGGCCATGCTTTTGGGGTATACTTCAGGCAATGTGAGTGCCATCACTGACTGCAGATGGGCTGCTGAGGCCCCTCTTTGTCCAATAGGGTGGGTCATTGCAGGCTTGCCCAAAGTCCACTGAAGTCAAAGGAAATATTTACACTGGTCTCAGTGGGCCATGTGTTCGATGAGGCTGGGCACCGAGCAGCACTGCTGAGCCAGGGAAACCTGCCCAAAGGGGAGGGCATGAGGAGCATCAGGATGATATGAGAAGAGCTTAAATGAAAGCCAGCGATGCAGTAATAAAAAACAAAGATAGATTTAAGGAGAAAGCATACTGGCAGGCTGTGTGAAGTGTGTCTCCTGAGGAGGCTGGTGGAGCCAGGCCCCTTGCTGCAGAGGTTGCAGAGCAGCAATGGGCTGCAGCCACAAAACTCACACCTCCCAGTAGTACTGGGAATGACCCTGATTGTGGAGATCTGTAGGTCAAGATCAACATCCCGAACCCAATGCTGAGGCAGGCAGACAGCCAGCAAAAGGAAAAAAGCTCTACAAGAATGGCTGCGATGCAAGTGGAGGAGTCATTCTCAGCTGCAATACAGCTGAAGCACGCACATCCCATTGCCGGTCAGTGACGGTGCTGGAGGGAACCATGGAACACAGCATGCAGCCTGCAGCTGTGAGCCTGGCAGCAGAGTGTGAGCTGGTGAGACTTCAGCTCTGCCCTTCCCCCAGCAGGTTGCTGGCTAAAGCGGGTTACTTAAGCAGGAATAATACAGCCTCCATGTGACACGGTCTGCACTGCTCAGAAGCCTGGCATGTTAAAGAAGGAAACGTACTGACTTTCAGGTCTGTGGCCCTGAAGCAAGAAACAGATCATTGAGTTAATCCTATGCTTTCATCTCTTCTGAACAGTACATGTTCTCAAAAATGCTGTTGCAGAAGTGATGGCAACCCTCACCCTGCTGTGACTTACAGCACCAGGAGCATCAGGCAGACTCTGCCACTCTGCCTCCCACACTGTCACAGGTCCCTTGTTTCTCCTTGGATGCTCAGTTCCCAAGTAGAATTAACCACAGTCCTTTTACTCACTTGTACCACAAATCTTTTTCCAATATTCATATTGATCTTTTTTCCTCGGTATATATACTTCTGCCTGCTTTAGACAGTGCTATACTATGTGACAGTGCTATGGGAACTGTTGAGTCACGGCCTGAACCACTGATTGATCACCTGAGGCAAGGACTGGGTCAGCCAGGAGCACAGGTGAAGGCAATTCAGCTGTGTGACCAGAAGGAGTGGAGCCTGGCTGCACCTTTCCTAGACCCCATTTAAGGACTGACTGCCACTGGGGAAGGGCCTCTTTCTGGACATCCTTCCTTTTGGAGTTTTCTACTGTAAGCCTAGGACACAGGTGCGTGTTTCATTTTTTTATTGTCTCTTTCCATCATGATAATCTTTGTAACCTGTAAAATGCTATCCTAACCATGTCACTCTTCTAACTGTACAGTTGTTAACTGTACATATATTTAATCAGATATTCTTCTTCAAAAATGCTGGCTACAAAGGTTATGTAGAACTTCCTACTTTATTTCTTAGTAGAACAGGTGCAAACTGTATTCTCTAGGTGCTATTCTCTAGGTGCTTGTCTTGTGAGCTATCCTCTGAGAAAAATCCTCTCTGTAAAGTCATCCCTGTGGATGGTTAACTTGAAGCCAACTATGTGTCATCATCTTGAATTCCTTCTCTTGTTTTGTGTTGAATTGTTTCAATCTTGTTCTCATTTGCTATGGATGGGGGAAAAAAACATAATCCCAGATCCTCAGAGGCACTTAGACATCAGAATTCTGAGATATTGGCAGTCAATCCTAGGAGCTGGGAACCTTCCAGTGGATGGGCCTTCTACTTCTGTCTTCAGTAAAGCAAGTATAATTTTGAAATATGTATCAAGGGCATGCTTTACCTTAAGGTATATATATTATGAAACCAAAGATGGATGCTAGGAGTCCTGAATTTTGTTCTCACAGAGCTTCAGGACTGAAAGCTTTGTAAGAAAGGCGTAGCTCATTTTTCCACG